GCATGGCCAATTTTAAGGATTTTTTAAAATTGTGTGTTGTTTTTTTTAAAAAATTATAGAAAGTTTCACATGTTCTCTCATTTATATGCCCATATACCAATCCCTCCCTTATTTGTGGATTATTTTGAAACCAATCCCAGGCATCACATGGGTGGGACAAGCCAGCTGCCTAGAGTGTACATAAAAAGGAGCCCCTGTCCATAGGTGCTAATCCTTCCTTGTCATGACCGGAGGACCCCACAGCGAGGCCTTTGTCAGTATGTCCAGCTTTTCTCACTGAAGCATTATATCATTTCATTTCCTGCATTATATCATTTCACCAGAAAGTATATGAGTATATGTGTGTCTGTGTAAGACAGTAACTCTTTGATTAATAAAACCCACTACATTACCATTATCATGTCTAAAAATAAAAATCCTTTCCTATCGCCAAATACCCAGTCAGTGTTCTGATTTCTCTGATTATTTCACAGGACATTTTTAGGTTGGCTGGTTTGAAGGAGGGCCCCAACAAGGTCTGCATGTCACACTTTGTCCATAGAAACTCCAAGTCTCTTTCAGTCTGTTGGTTTCCCCATTTCTCTTGCTATTGCTTTTTTCCTTGCAATGTATGGGTTAAAAGAAAAGCAGGTGATTTTTCCTGTAAAGCTTTCTGCATTCTGAATTTTGCTGCATGAAAAATCATTAAACACACTGTGTGTGTTCATCTACCTCCAGTATGTCCTGCAAACTGGTAATTAGTCTAGTGGCTTGACCAGATTCTGTGTTTTCAAAAGGATACTTCATGGATGAGTGCTGTATAGCCACTGTCCATAATGCCTGGTCATCTTCCATTAGAAGTGTAGGTTACCATTGAAGATCATTGCCTAGATTCATTATCAATTAGGGTTATAAAATGGCAATATTCAAATTTTACTATTCTTCCTTTGTCAGCTGGAATACTTTCATCAAAAGAAATGCCCCCTCATCAACCCTTTGTTTACTTTGAGGTAAATTTCTCATAGAAAGGGCAGGTAAATGCTTCATTTTCTCCCTTCTGTGCCGCTTTGCAGAATATTGAGTAGATTTTCTTTGTTTTCCAGTGGTGACCAAAGGTGGGATTGTTTGTTTTGGTATTGTTTAGGAAATCATGGACTTATAATGGATTTGGTGTATTTGAAGAAAGTTGTTTCAATGTTTTCCAGTTGCCCCTTTAACTTGACACTTGCCTTCTTTTCAACAAGGCTCATTGTCTTCCTTGTTGCCTAGTCTGACCACACTTTCTGGTATCATCTTGCAAATTTCCAGCCCCAGACCTAGAACTGGCTATTTTACCAAGGGACTCTGCGTTAGTCCGTTTTGTGTCACTATGACCCAAAGTACCTAACAAGAACAACTTGGGTTATTTATTTTGGCTCCTGTTTTCAGAGGTCTCAGTCCATGGAAAAGTTTATTTTGGTTCATGTTTTCAGAGGTCTCAGTCCATGGTCAGTGGACTTCATTGCTCTAGGCCTGAGATGAGGCAGACTATCATGGTGGAAGAGAGTGAGGTGGAAAGCTACTCAACTCAGGGCAGCTGGAGGGAGGAAGAGTGTTGTGAGGGGTGCAGTGAGGAGGGAAAGGCCTGGGGACAAGATAAACCTTTCCAGGCACATCCCAGTGACTTACTTCTTCCAACTAGGTCTCAACTCCTAGGAGTCCATTCAGTTATCAGTGGATTAATCCATTTGATAATTCATCAAATGGATTAATCCACTGATGATATCAGAACCCTTGGATCCAATCATTGCCTAAAAGTTCCACTTCTGAACCTTGCTACATTGGGAACAGTGCTTCCAACCTGGGACTTTGGGGAAAATTCCAGATCTAACTGTAATAAACCATCCTTTCTTTCATTAGAAAATCACCAAAAGTTGTATATATGAATGTTTAAATCCAGAATTCCAAATTGTCCACTTCTGTTATTAATATACTTATTTTTAAAAGGAATATAGTTAAGGATCTTTGATCATTCAAGACATGAAACAAAGAGAGGAGGAAACAGGGCTAAGGCTAGTGCAAGGAGAAATGAGGAATGGAAGGAAATTCTCTCTATCTTCATCCATCTTTCCTACCCTGTCATTCTCCTATCCCACTCTGAGAATCATGAAAGACAAAATGTTTCATTTTTCTCTAAATGAAAAGTTGCTACCAGACTATCAGGTGTGGTTGGAGTGGGAATAAAGTTGGATAGAGGGAACTGATCAGAGGACTACTAATTGGAAATTCCATTTGCATCTTTTAAAAACAGTATTCCTCTCTCTTTCTATTTCTTTGCCTCATTTAAAAAAATTATATGACCATTCTTTTATGTTTGATACCAAAAATTAAAGCAAAACTTTGGTTCCAAGTATTGGTTATCAGAGACTCATGGAGGTGGTGAGGGCAGGGACCAGAGTTGGGAGCTGCAGCAGGACCAGTGGACCTAAAGCTGGAGATGGTTTCCCAATGGATCAAGAAGAATGGGGGCTCTCACATTTTTATGAGAGCACATCTGCACCAGAACAGCTATATGACTCACTGAGGTATCATTACCTTTGGGATCAGGAGGAGTGTCTCAGATGGAAGGAAAATAACCACCTCTTCAAGCTGCTTGGAATGAGTTTTGTTGTTACTGTTTCAGGGGAAAGCCAAAATAGCATTTCAAAAGTGGACTTGTTGCTTAGTTATTGTTACCTGACATTTCTTAGTTGATATTTTCTTTCCAGGATGCTTTTCCACAAAACTTATGTTCAGAGAGAGACACAATGGAAATCAATCGCTAATGAAATTTGTGGCTAAATTAATAAATCACAACTATTCAGATCATATCTGTCTGAATAATTTCTATTATGGTGAACATAATTGTTAGATTCAGCATGTAATGAACCATATTGTTGGGTAAAATTCTTATGACAATTGGGACTAATAGAATAAATTAACCTTTATTCTTCCTAGCTTGACATTACATTGGACCATGTTAATCTGAAAGCACCTGGAAGAGTCTCATCATTAAATCGCCATTGTGACTCTCCCGGCCTTCTGATGGAACTTGTGAGGCTTTGGGAAATCAGTGGTGTTTGATTGTTTGTAAGTGGGTGTCTTTATCTACAATCAGCTTTTAGAGTGTTTGGTTCTGTGAGTGCATGTCTTCACGAGATGGAAACAGGACCAACCTCAAGAGCTGGAAAGCACCATAAAACTTCAAAAAAATTTGTCTGGAGCACATGCATAGGAGACTTCTGTGCTCTGTGGTTGGCATGCAGTGAGGTGTTTCTAGAAAGAATAAACCTGACTCCTTTCCTAGAGGAACACACAAAGTAATGGAGAAAACAGAAGAGCCTTCTGTGAAAGTGTAAAGGATGTCCATTCTGGAGAAATCACAATATATTCAACTAGAAGTATTTTTATCTATATCAAGGTATGGCTCCAAGGTTCCATGATTGTCTTCTTGGAGGATATATTAGAAATTTTACATCCTCTTGAATGTTATCTCTTTCAAGATAATCAGTGCAGCAATTCATGCTGGTGTTACTGGGACCATCTGAATGATCTCTGCTTTAGGAGAATCTGGCACCTGCCATTTTAAATGCCTTGGATGGAACACCTGTCTTACCCTTGTAGCAGGAAAAATGGCCCTTGTTAGAATAAAGAAACATGAGCAATGTTACAATTAACCCAGCTGTTGGGAGCCAGCGACCGCACCCTGAATATGGTGCTGGTCTCTGCTTCCGCTTCGTTAAGCGGTTAGAGTTGTTAGAAGTAAACAACTCCTTGTAAGGCTGTGGGGCTGGGCTCTAGCCTGCTTCCGCTGCGCTGTACCTATTAGACTTTTCCACGTGGTGCTAGTTCATTGGCGGGGCTGGGTACTTAAGCTAGGGCAGACCAACCGCTCGCGCTCTTTCCTTTCTTGTTCCTGTTTTCTCATCATGCTTCAAGGGTCCTGAATAAACTGCTGAAAGAAGAATCCTGTGTCATGTTTCCCTTGCTGGCGAGGGGTCGCGACACCCAGCTTACCTTGTCTACTTGTGACAACATTTAGTGACAATGACAAAAGTCAATGCCAAATAAGCTTCTCCTGTGGCTCAGACCTCAGCCTTCTTTTATCCATTACTAACACGAAGACCAACACTTGGTACAATATCCTCTATCGCCAATTAGTGTCCAAGGTCCTTTTGGTTTTGTATTAACCATAAAACTGACCCCAATAAAACACATAAGTCATGAAATCACTTCCCCTTACCCTTGATCCTGCCTCTCTTTCTTTCTTATGTAAATGGAGTGGGGTGGAGTGGGAATATGTGGTCCATGATATCAATTGTGTTGCCATGACTGTCTGTTGGGCATTGCAATTCAGTACCCTTCTCCATTTGTTTGTTTGTTTTGGTAAAAATAATAAACTTCTTGTAGGGAATTTGTGAAGAGTGTCATTACTTTTGCTTTAAGCAAATTCCTAGGAAGAAAATTGAATTTAATTGATTTATTGGGATAGAAGTAGGAATAAATACTAACCCTGAAAGATATCCTCCCCACCACCCAAGTGCCAACAATCTTGGGATATGTGCAAACATTCACACGTCATTCTATGTGCCACTTGGACTTGCATCATCAGCTCCATTTTTAACTGGTTTAGACTATGATTAAACAACTTCAATCTTCCCAAATTAATTTAAAGAAGTTTCTATAAGTTTGAAGAATTAAACTGATAGGATTTAACAGATAGGAGTGGAAAGGGTTTTTTAATGTGGAGGTGACTCTGCCTGAGTGGACAGCAGAGAGCCACTGACCCTGAGTCTGTCCTGAGGGTCAGAGGCAGCTGCCATGCAGCCCCTATCGAAGAATCCAGTACTTTCCACTCCCTCCTCTAGAAGGAGTTAGGAGATGCCCAGGCTGCTTCTCCATAGTTGGTCTTTCCCCTCCCTCTCCCAGCCTCCATTTTTGCTTCCAATAGTCTGTCCTCAGGCCTCTGGATGACTAATTTTAGCCCTACTGTTACTGGGCTTAGGGTAGACAAATCTACTACTCCTATTGGTCTGCCTGTTGGTGCTGAGTGGATGTCAGTGGTTAGCTGGGCTCTTCTTGGCCCAGATCCCAGTCCCCAACTGAGCTGAGCCTGGAGACAGCCAGCAGAAGGGACCTGAAGCTTGTGGTAAGCTGGTGCTCTAATTTCTTTGCAAAAGTGATGTCTGAGAATGGGCATGAGGCTATTTCATCTGGCTGATTGTGGAAGTGGGAGAGAGACAGGGAAATCTATTCTTGAAAGTGGTGTACAGGTTTGAAGATGGTGTTCTCCCAGCTGCCTTTTCAAAGCCATCAGAAACCGTGTACAGGAGGAAATAAAAATGAGGTGCAATTTATTCAGCACACCAAGGGACCTTTCCAGGACACAGTAGGTATTTCTGTTTGGGTGCAAAAACATTTAGTTTTAAAATTATAAAACACTATCATCTTCTTCTGGGTGATTTTGTCCTATTGGTAATCTGAGCAGCGTGCATATGTGTTTGTGTCTGCAAATTACTTTGAAAAATGCATGTTATTTACTTGTTCTGAAGAGGCTCTTAGGCTCTTTTGTCTAAATAGGAAATTTGGATCTAATAAAATGAGGCTATTATGGACTCCCAGGCAAGTCATAATGGAGACTAATACCTTTAAAAATTCAAAATTAAAATAAAAAACAAGCCAGTCATTTTGGTTATCTATCAGGACAAAGTTCAATATAAACCTCCATAACTCATTTTTTTCTGCATTCTCTCTCTTTAACACAGGCAAGGCAAAACGCTGGATACATGAGAAAGTGTTTTCCGGGGCTCTGAGAAACACTGAGACCTCTAAGCCTTGTTACCAAGAATGTCTCCTGTCATGGCCTCCCAGAAACTAAAGAGGAGCAATTGGGAGTGTTCTCAGCATTAAGTCTTTGTGCAGACAAGGGGAGTGGCAGGGAGAGAGGTCTCTGCCTGGACATTTTATTAAATGGGCCCTGGGGGAAGCACAGATCCACATCATCCCAGATGAACCCATGACCCTGCACAATAGAGACCTGAGAGGCAGATGTGTGGTGCCTTTGACTTGGAAAACTTTTCTGCCATGGCTCCCATTTCACCCAAGTTTGGTACCATTTTTCAAGTTTAGTCATCCATTCACCTTGGAGGCCCAGACTTTTCTCATCTCCCCTTGTAAAGGTATATTTACTGAGGGGACCTTGGGACCCCCTGGCCATTGGGTCTTCTTTCTTCCTATAGCATTGAAACTCCTGTAGCTGGGTTATGTACTGTGCCCTGCTGTTCTCTCCTAGACCTCACTTTCGTCATCTGTAAAGTAAGCAGAGACAGACATTCTTTCTCCACAAAACCAATGTGTAATTACAATAGGTAAAATAATGTTCTGGTAGAGCTGTTTTGCAAGAATAAGCAAGGAAACCCGGAACCTCATCTCTGCTTGTTTTTTTTTCCTCAATTGCTTTGATGGTCTCTGAGGCCCACAAGGCCAGAATAGTCCAGGTTCCACCAGTCACTACTTGAGTCTCCAGGACTAGATGACTGCTAAGTCTTTCCAACTCTCAGATTTGGAGGTTCCAGTTATTCCATGGGCAAATGACCACCTCTAACCTCCAGGATTGTTTTGGTATATGTAAGATTAAAAGGGTGGAGCCTCTGGCTTTTGTCTTCCTAGTGGTTTACCCTCTTCAGATGAAAAAGCTTGATAATTTGGGGTCTTCTAAGTCAATTTATTTTTATTTTTTACTTATTTGATTGTTTTGGTATGGAACCCAAGGGTGTTTAACTACTGAACCACATCTCTAGCCCTATTTATTTATTTTATATCTTTATTTATTTATTTTTATGGTGCTGAGGATCGAACCTAGGGCCTCGAATGTGTTAGGCAAGCGCTCTACCACTGAGCCACAATCCCAGCCCCAGCCTTATTTATTTATTTATTTATTTATTTATTTATGTATTTGTTTGTTTGTTTGTTTGTTTATTTTTATTCTGAGACAGGGCCTTGCTAAGTTGCTGAGGCTAGTTTTGAACTTGAGATCCTCCTGACTCAGCCTCCTGAGTTGCTGGGATTACAAGCATGCACCATGGCACCCTGCTTCTAAACCAATTTTTATAAAACTGCATACTTGGGGAAACTTCTCCCACATGGTGTTTTCCCAGTTGATTTGGGAGGGCCCAGTGTAACACCCACATCATTGCCCCAAAGAGGGTCACCATACCTTGTATTTGACAACCTCAATGAACTGGTCTGTTTTGAGGGGGTGTCAGGAGCTGAAACAGATGCCCTTGGGAAACACCCAGCAAAGGGCCAACTTGACTTTCTGGAACTTCCCTGGTCATAAATCTCAGGCATCCTTCCTGGAGGACTGGAGAGACCAGTGTCACTGGGAGGCTCTTGGTGGTGGCTTGGCCTTTTCTACCTGCTCTGTGCTTTCTCTTGGTCACAGGACATGCTGGCTGGCTGGCTGCTTTCTTCTGGAGCCCTTGGTTTCTTAAACGATAATGAATGAAAGATCCAAATCTGTCCCACACAGGTAATCTTTGCCATCTTAATATT